GCATTTTTTATTGCATGCATGCTCATGGGCATGTGTGTGTGCACACACACAAACACACAGAAGTTTTCTTCACTCTTTCAAAAATGGGACAATAAAATAGATGCTTTTCTGTATTTGGCTTTATTTGTAACTGCTCATAGACTTCTCCCAAAGTCATCAATATGGTTCCAATTCATTCCTTTTGATGACTGTGTAACAGAGTGTGATATTAGTGGATCAGAATGTATGTGGCCATTTCTCTCTCCATAGGCATTTATTTGAATTCCAATGTTTTGCTACTAGGTACAATGCTGCTATAAAAGCTTATATTCTCATTGTTTTCATTTTGATGGGGTAGATGAAGGTGGATGGAAAAGTTCAAGTTTTGTTTGAACGCCCTTTTGCTCATCTTGACCTGATGTATGGTCTGGAAAGGGAAAAACTTACTTTTCTGCACCTTCCTAGTGGGGATGGGCTGTGAGGCCCAGGTTAAGGAGAAGTAGACCTGGGATGCACCCCTCTCCTACCTCCTTCTTCCTGATGAGAATGTAGCTGTTTCTAAAAGTAGCAGGGTATGGGGGCCAGGGATTTAGCTCAGTGGTTTTGCTGCCTGCAGCGCAAGTGCAAGGATCTGAGTTCGATCCCCAGTACCAAAAAAAAAAAAAAAAAGTGGTAGGGTGGGGGTTGGGGGAGGGAAAGAGAGAGAATGAGTCCGGGACCTGCGATTTAGCCATATTTCAACGAGTGTGTGTTGAGTATTTACTATGTTCTAGTGAAAGATGTAGATATAGAACAAGGAGATACAGTCCCTGTCTGTGAAATATGTAAATGCTTTGTAGGAACGTCATGAAACAGTGTGAAGCTGTGATACAGAGGGGCTAGGCTGGTCTGGGGGGAATGACCACTGAACCTCCAAAGAGGACAAGCAGTTGGCCTGGGATGAGAGGGAAGGACCCTCCTCAACAGAAGAAGTCCTGTGGCAAGGAGGGACATGCCTTGTTTTTTGGAACAGAGGAAGGGCCAACATGACCAAAGCTTAGCCCTGGAGACACATGCCATGTTGAGCTTCATTCCACCATCTTGCAAGGACTTTGAATTTGACTGTTGGTTAGGAAGGGAGGCAGGAGTTTCAGGAGGTCAGAGTGAGAGAACTGTTGTATATACTGGTAGGTGATGGTGGTGTCCTAGATCAACAAGGTGGATTTGGATTTAGAGAAAAGCTGATAGTTCTGAGATGATAATTTTAAAGGTTATTATACAATGCTGTAATTAAAACTTCTTTGAAGATGTCATTTTTTCTTTTCTTTTTTTTAGTACCGGGGATTGAACTTGGGACCTTGCGCTTGCCAGGCAGGTGGTGGAACTACTGAGCTAAATCCCCGGCCCTCAAGATGTCATCTTAAAAGCAACATGAGGGCAGGGGGTGCAGCTCAGAGGTAGAGCCCTCACCTAGAGTGTTCAAGGCCCTGGGTTCCATCCCCAGCACTGCACCAATAACAATAAACTGTGAAATAGCAGGGGTGAGGAATAATTTTTATATAAATTATTCAACATGAGTTTAGTTTATCTTCTCAGTGGGTGAGATGTCCAAAGGAGACAAGGTTAGGGTTTATATGGAGAATGCCCTCAAAGGCCACCTATGCTCCTAGGTGGGGCTTTTGGAAGAGGATTGGATTGGGGGGTGTGATACAGCAGACTTGCTGTTAGGAGGTGGGACCTGAGTAGGGGATGACTGTCACTGGGGGCACGACCTGGAAGGGTATGTGTCTCCTTCCTTTCCTCCCTCCTTCTCTCTGCTTCCTGTCACCATGATGTGAGCAGCCTTTCCTCCACTGTATCCCTCGGTTATGCCATTTTTGCCTTGCAGCCAGCTGAGCCTGAACTAACTGAGTCAAAATAAACTTTTCCTTTAAATTGTGGGAGGTCGGTACTGTATCTCCATGATGAGGAAAGTGACCAAGACAGATAGTGAAAATACTGATGTGTGACCTTGATTACCCACCTCTACAGTAGGCACTTGCTAGATCCTGGGCACTGTAGGATACATGAACACATTTCCCTCCTCAAGTTAATTCTGAAGTATGCTACGAGTTAGTAATGCAAAACTTGAGCATAAACACAGAAACTAGGAAATACTAATACAAACTTCCAAGCTAAGCCAATCTCTGACCCCTCTACAGTCCTAGTTCTCTCTGTTGACAATCACCACTCATGGTCACCTGAAATACTAAGTGGTCAATATAGACCAAGATGGGCTGGGGATGTAGCTCAGTGGCGGGCGCCTGCCTGACAAATGCAAGGTCCTGAGTTTGAATCCTAGTACTGGAAAACACACACACACACACACACACACACACACACACACACACACACACACACACCCCTAATATCAGTTAATACAAATGAGAAAGGTTTCTAGAAAATAAATAAATTTCTTTCTTTCAAGAAAAGAGTTTTTATTTCTTTATAGTTTTAGAGAAAATTCTTTGAGGTCCGAACACCATTTTTGAGAGTTGGATCCAATGAGATTCAGTGTTTTCCCCACCATGGCCCTGGTCCCCTGAGAGGCACAGGGGGACATCCCACTGAAACTATGTCTGCAAACATTCTCCATGAAACAGCGATCCCTTTGGCGTCTTCCTCTTTGGTGGGCCTTGAAACTAATGAGAAATCGGCCACGTGGTCTCACACAGAGCAGGCATGGTCACGATCGCAAATGCTTGTGCTTTCGGAGAAAGCGACATGTTTATTAATGACCTTGGAAATACTAAACTAGTTCATCATGTGCTCTGGGGACTTTGTGATTGCTCCAAAAACACAGCATACGAAAGAAAGAAACGTTTCTGGCCAGCTCGCAGTGTCATTCGGTCAGCAGTTGGAATTGCTGGTCAAGGGTTTACGCACTCTGTGTCCCAGTGGGTGGGTGTGCAGTGCATCAGCCAGACAACCTGCCGCAAAGCAACAGAGGAGAGGCCTCCTGGGGCCTCAGTGTGGGCGAAGGAGAGCATGGACCATCACCTAGGTGCTTGCTGCCAGGCATGCCGACATGGACGGGGAGTGGCCCGGCAGGGGCTGGGCAGTAGAGGCAAGAAAGGAAATCTCCCGGGGAGGGGCGAAAAAGCACAGCGCTCCTTCCCAGGAAGGTCGGTAATCCAAGCTTCCACGCCATTCGAGTAACACACCACTTTGAGAGTCAAAGGGAAATAAGACCAAGAGTTTGGTTTGAATATTTTCCTTCTCAAAGTACCTACGTTACATGTTTTGACCATTTCTCTGCCTATTGCCTATCTCTCTTACTGAGTTAATAGTTCTTTACAGATTCTGGAGAGAATCCTTTGTCACACACATACAAAACCTGTTATGAGCAATTCGGTGTTTTCTCTCAGAATTGTTCTCTGTATATGCATACGTATTTATGTATTTATGCATACGTATGTAAAAGAGTCCTCATGCACACACAAATACATGTCTTTGTATATTTTACAAAGTGGAAGGATACATGAACACATTTCTCTGCAGATCATTCTGCAGAGAATTCTTCAACTGCACATCATTCTTCAACTTAAAAAAATTCTCATCCATATATTTGGGCAATCTTCCAGGCCATTATGTGTATTTTTTTCATTCTTAGTATTGAACAGTATTGCATGGAATGAATGAACCACAATTCTAAAAGGAGTCCTTTTGGATGAACATTGAAGTCATCTCCATACTGCTGCCTTTATAAACAAGTAAGAGATTCCTACCTACATCTTCAAAACCTGTGTAAATATTCCTGAATATTCCATGCCCAGAGGCAAGTCACTGCAAAAATTTTCAAAGGTTGCTTTGACTTACATTCCACCCTTCCTTCACTCTTCTTAATGATACATACCACAGTATCCCATCTTCCTGTCAATGTTGCCAAAGAAAATGATCTTATTGCTTTAGTGTATGTTCTCTGATCACTGTTATCCTTTTACCTTTCTTCTGTGAATTACCTGCCAACTTTTTGGATGACTTTTAACAAAAAATATCTGAGAACACTCTTTATTGGATCATGGCTGTTTGGTGGGCATGTCAGGGACTTCCGGTTTACTGCTGAACAGTATGGCTCTTTTCTAAGGTTAGCACTTACCAAACATGTATTAAGTGGTTGGTATAAGACATGGTGCTCCCCTGCCTCATTTCAGTTAATGCTCACAATTCTTAGGTGAACTTCAATGAGAAACTGACACATGGCAAGTTTAATTTACTGTTCCAAGGTTAATATGCCAATAGGACTATCTACTAGGTTTACGAGTGTACATCAAAAGTTAACATGTTGCATAATGAATAAGGTTGAAGAGTGAGTGATAAAAATGACTACTAGTGTTTCTGGATAATTTATTAACATGTACTTTTAGGTTTGATCCTTGTTTCATCTCAAAAAGACCTTGCTTCTGGCTGCTTCCTGGTGTTTGTGTGTGTGTGTGTGTGTGTGTGTGTGTGTGTGGTGTTGTGTGTGTGAATATGTAAGCATGGGGTGTGTGTAGTCTGTAACTTAGTGTGTGTGGTGTGGTATGCATAGTGAGTGGCATGTGTGGTGTGTGCAGTATATGGTGTATGTTGTGTATGTGTGTTGTGTTACATATGTGGTATAGGTATAGTGTGTGATGTGTGTGTGTGCTTGCTATGTGGTGTCATGTGAGTATGGTGTACATGAATGTGTAAGCATGGTGTGCAGGTCTGTTGTATGCTTGGAATCAGGTCTGTGGTGTAAGTTGTATAGGTGTGGTGTGTATGTGTGATTGTGATATGCGTGTAATATGTGTGTATGGTGTGACTATGTTGTGGTATGTATATGACATGTATACAGTACAGTGTATGTAGTGTATATATGTGTATAGTGTGGTGTATATGGTGTTGTGTGCATGTGGTGTGCACACATAAATATGCATACTGGTGGTGTGTATGTGGTATGTGTGGTGCATGGTGTATATATGGTGTGTGTGGTGTGTAGGTAGTGTGTGTGTGTGTGCATGGGGTTTGTGTGGGTGTACATGTGGTGTGTGGTTTATGTGTGGTGTGTGTGCAGTGTGTGGATGTTGCTCACGACATTTAGAGAGGAGGTGACTTGCCAGACTCTTGGAAGTGTGGGGGAGGCTGCAAGCTCAGCAATGGTTTCCTGGGACAGGGGAGGCAGCTGTGACTCTGAGAAGTGTCATTTCTCCAGACCAGGGGACCCAGGTCCTTCCTCCTGCACCCGGTGGCCTGTGCATCCCAGCGCAAGGCATGTGCCAAGCAGACTGAGACCTATCTGGGCATTCTGCTGGGGATGAGGCCCCCAGGACTGCAGAGAGCAGTGTGGAGTTTCTCAGCATGCTGGAGACTGAAGGTCACATCAGCTGCGTGGGATGATGACTCAACTTAGATTCCATTTGCTTTTGGAGAAATGATGAGGTATTATTTCCCACATTAGTGTTTGGAAGTTTATTGTCATGGGGCATATCTCAGGCATATACTGCTAGCATATTCAGAGTATTAATGAACAAAAAATGCAGAATGAATAAAATATTTTGAGCTCAGTGAGAAGGATAAATGGATACCAGACCACCAATGAAAATTGGACTGAAGCTTTGCATCTGGTTGCTATTAACCAAATTTAAGAAGGAATAGCCACTCAAGGTTTCCTGTTGCTTAATTTAAGAAGCAATTTGGATTTCATGGGCCTCAGCTGAAGTTTGGTTTCAGCAATCCCATAGGCATGAAACCACAAGAAACCATAATGAGCTAGGCAGGCTCATAATTTCTTTTCTGTGTTGTAAAAGCAATAAAAACTGCTTTTCAGAATATTTGGAAAAATCAATAACAGTTACTCAAAACTCTCTCCCAGATACAACTTTTATCATCTTATTGGGCATTCTTTCAGTGGAACTAGAAAGAATGTTATATACATGCCTATGTATACATCTTTATATGAACATGAAAATATCTATACAATCAAAAATGATGTGCATTCTGCCACTTCACAATGTATTTTGAAATGCTTCTATGTTTTTAATTTTTATTTATTTATTTTTGGTACTGGGGATGGAACTCAGGACCTTGTGCTTGCGAGGCAGGTGGCAGAACCACTGAGCTAAATCCCTGGCCCACTTCTATGTTTTCATATGGTCCTTCTGATCATTATTTTTCTTTTCATTTATGGTCCATCAGATGTACAACTAAGTTCCTTAACTATTCCCCGATAGCAGCTCACCTCTAATCTTTTCTATTGTTGGAAATAACATAGCTAAGGGCCGGCATGTAGCTCAGTGGTTCTGCGCCTGCCTGCCAAGCTCAGGGTCCTGAGTTTGAGTCCCTGTAATACACACACACACACACACACACACCCACACACCCACAGAGAAATAATATAGCTAGAACCTTGGTGCAGAAAGCTGAGAGTCAGAAGGTGGGACCTTCCAAGGCTGGGTATTGGCCATGCATCACCAAATCTTCCTCCCAGTAGGATTGTACCCAGCAAATCCTATTCTAGCACACTGCATTCATTGACCCTTCATATATGGTTATAATCCTATAACCATATCAGCCCTGTCCAGTGCACTTGGAAAGCGCTTGGGAGGCTCTATCACTTCTCATCCCAGGACCAGAAAGGGGTCCTCAGGAGCTGCACCAGGCTCTGGGTTCCCGTGATGCTCAATGTGCCGTCACCTCCTGTGGTCTTCTATAGGAGCTGAGACAGAAACTCTTTGGCCACAGCTCTCCCTCAACCCCTTTGTGATGGTTAGGTTTGTTGTGTCAACTTCAGTGGCCATAGTCTCTAGTTATTCAATCACACTAATCTAGAGGTTGCTGTGAAGGTGCTTTGTAGATAGGAATAAAGTCCATCATGAGTCAACTTTAAGTAAGGGAGATTATTTCAGATGACCTGGGTGGGCCTGGTGCAATCAGTTAAAAGACCTCAAAGTCAGAGTGGAGGCTTCCTAGAGGAAGAAGACGTTGACACCCAACTCCTTAAGTACATCAGCAGAACTTAACCTTTGTTTTGAAGCTTATTTGGGGGATGAAAATTTCACATGATGAAATCCTCTTAAGTATATAATTTGATGAATTGTGATAAATGCTCCCCAAACTTCATCAATAGTACATTCACATTGCCTCAAAGATCTCCTTCTCAGCCAACACGTGTTTCCTTTTAGTAGAAGGAACCACTGATCAGATTTTTTTCTTGCATGAGTTAGTTTTGTTTGTTCAATAAATTCTTTTTCTTTTCTTTCTTTCTTTCTTTCTTTCTTTCTTTCTTTCTTTCTTTCTTTCTTTCTTTCTTTCTTTCTTTCTTTCTTTCTTTTTTTTTTTTCAGATCCAGGGACTGAACTCAGAACCTTGTGCTTGTGAGGCAGGTGAGACGCCACTGAGCTACATCTCCAACCCTTGTTAAATAAATTCTCAAAGATAGATTCATGGCTTATGGTATGCACTCCTTTGTGTCTGCTTCTCTTATTCAGTGCAGTTTTTTGGTGTGTGTGTGTGTGTGTGTGTGTGTGTGTGTGTGTGTGTTATTGGACCAAACCTAGGGCTATATCCCCAGCTCTTTTCATATTTTTTATTTTGAGGCAGGGTCTTGCTAAGTCGCTAAGTTGCTCAGGCTGGCTCACATTTGTGATCCTTCTGCCTCAGTTTCCTGGAGTGCTGGGATTACAGGTGTACATTGCTGCATGCAGTGTGAAATGTTTTTAAGATTCACCTATGCTCCTATGAACATCTGTTGCTTCCATTTTTCACCAGAGACACATTTCATCATAGATATACCAGTTTGTGTGCTCTTCTCCTGTTGATGGATATCTGAGTTTTTTTGGTCTATTTTGAATACAGATGCTATGAATGTTTATGTGCATATATTTTTGTATAAATTTTTCCTAAGGTCTCGATTAATACCTGGGATTGAAATTTCTGTGTCATATGGTAGGTACATGTTTAGTTATATATGAAGCCGCCAGATAGTTTCTCAAAGTTGGCTGCACTACTTTACACTTCCATCTGCTGGAGGAGGGTTGGTGGCTCTAAATCCTCAGCTACTTGGCATGGTCATTTTTTTATTTTTAGCTATTCTCAGGGATTTGTGGCCATATCTCATTTGGTTTTTTCCTCCCAAATTGTTTATTTTTGCTTTAGTTTATTAGTACATGTGTGTAGAACATAATGTTCACATTCCTTGTAGGAAGTTGATACATGTATATAACACATCCTAATTCCTTTTTCGTCCCCTTTCCCTTCCCTCCATTTGGTTTTAACTTGTATTTTCCTCATAACTAATGACACTGAGCTCTTTTTCATGGTAACATTGCCTTTTGATCACATGTTAAAAATCCTTGAGTCATTCTCTACCTCCAGCTTTGTAGTGGATGGGTGAGGGAATGAATGATCCTGAGGAACTCAGGAAGCTATGGAGAGTGAAGAGCAGGGATGCAAGATTCCCAGGGAGGAACCTTTCAAGTCAAATAGGGTGATTACTCATAGTACCTTCAAAATTCTGTGGTGGGGCAGCAGGGCTGCTGTGAGACCAGGGAGGAGGGCATGGGCACTGAGCACACACAAGAGGTCTGTGGGCCCCTGCCCTTGATCTAGATGTCATGTCTCCTGGGCCTGTCTTTGCATTGTGACTTGTACACCACCCCCTTTCTTCTGGCCTAGACATTCTGCTATACCAAGGTTTTAAAAAAGCAAGCAAGAATCGTCATAAAGCACTCAGTTTCTTTCTGATCTGTGACTAAATTTGTGCCTTTTCCCATTATCACTTTGCCCATGCAAGACCACAGTCCAGAGAGACCTTACAGCATTTGAGCCTTAGAGTCCATCCTGCCATTACCCACCTCCAATCTTGGCAAATAATTGTCCCATATGCTCAAAGAAAAAAAATGATGCATCTACTTGCTAAATCACAGAAAGACAGGTTTTCACAATAGGCATAGTGATTACTGCCATGGCTTCCCTCAGTGGGAAAAGAGCAATTGGGCTCAACCAAATACAATGAGAAAAAGTGGGAATCAATAGCCATGGAGCAAGTAGGGTTATTGGATGGAAAATGACCAAGAGGGGACATTAAGAGGAAGGAGAGACTCTGGCTAAGCCCACCTAACAGGATTCTTGCTGCAGACAAGAAAGAATCAGACATCATTTGGGGACAGTGTAGGATGAACCTGATCAGATATAGAGGGTGGGGGAGTCTGGCTAAACTGAGTTAGCAGGATTCCTGCTAAAAGTGGGCAATGCAGAGACACACATGGAAGTCCAGAAATCAGACCTGGTTGGAAAAGACATCAGGAAAGCCTCGTCCAGAAGAGATTCTTTGGGGGTTTCTTATAGCTTAAATGAGTGAGTTGAAGTAGATAATATCAGCGACACATATTCTAGAACTTCTGTGGTCCTTTTCTTGTCCCCTTAAAATTTCCTTTCTGCATTTCTTGTTTCATCAACTTGAATGTGGCTTTTTCAGGGCAAGGACTATGACATTGCCCATGGTTTAAGGGCACCAATAAAAGGGCCCTCACTTGCATTTCTACTGGATTCAGATGCATCATGGCTTACCATGAGCTACTGGGATGATAGGAAAGCTTCCTAGACTTTTGTTTCTGCTAAAATTGAGTAAATGATTGGCGGGGTACAGCTCAGCCTGGATGAAAGCCAGAAGTGTCCTGAAAGAAGCAAATTTGGGTCACCAGTCAGTGTGGAGAACTGGTTTAGATTCAAGCCTTTGGACTCACACTTGGAAATATATCTGTAGCTCTTGCCCCTAAAATTCAGCTGCCTAGTTTCAGTCAGATGCAGAAGTAGAGAGAATATTTCTGCCAAGGTAGAAGCCATGGTGCTCTGCCCATAAACCCTGGTCTCTAGAGGTCCGTAGAGGAGCCCCTTGGTGCCCCTTGGTGGGAGGCAGCTACAACTCAGGGCAGGCCAGAGGACACAGGAGCCTACATTAATTAGCTGGCTGTGAGGGGCAGTAGTTTATTGACAAAGACTCTTCCTCCCTTATCCTTGAGGGATGGCTGTTACATGTTCCACAGTCTCACAGAGTGTCCCCAGGTACCCACTCATTAACTCTCACTGCTGTTTTTCTCCCCTTCCCTATCTCACTTCCTGTCTTCCTCATGTACTTCCCGGTCACTTCCCAATTTCTGTTTCAAAGTCAGCTTTGATACCACCAGTCTAGAGTCAGAAATTTTCAAGATTGTGCCACACTTGTTTCATCTTTCCCCTTTTCTCTTCTGAAATATTGGAAAACAAATCTCAGGCATGATGAAATAATATTACATTTACGAATCTATGCCAGGGGGAAAATAGCACCATCCCTAGAGATCTAGAGATCTCTTCCCACACACATTGCCACAGGCTTGTTCACCTTCCCCACCCTCTCTGTTGTCCAACATAAGTCCAGATTCCTGTGTGTACCATCTGGAGACATCCTGGGTGCATGCTAGTCTGTTTAACTCTATTTTTCTCTATATGTACAAATGTAGACTCTAAACTGTACACAGATGTGACACATTACGGGAATATTCACTTTAAGAGAAAAGGGATCTTTCATTAGACAAAATATGGAGAGTTGGGGAAGAGAATCATCAGCAAGCCAAATTCAAAGTACAGCCTGAGAAAGGAGAGCAGCTTGCTGTTAAAGACACATCACAAAGACATCACATGACACCAGTATTGCTTTAAAGAGTATTGTCTTGGGAGGGCTGATCCCCTCAGTTACCTGCATTAACACATGTTATGTAATATTGTCACTTTGCCTTTACCTAGCAATCCTCCTCTTTCTGTAAGGCTCAATCTAGGTTCTATGAGGGTAAAGCATGGTGGCTTTCTCTTTCTTTCAGTGACTCAAGTAGTCAGTTTCTGAGGGAAACTTGGCATTTTGTCTTGAGACTTGCTTCTGCCACCTACTTTGGTAATGAGAGGGGGTGTGTTAAAGCCCTCAGAAAGTTTTGATAAATATCACGAACATACCTCTCAGCAGCCTTGTCTCGTACCTGGTAGAACTGAGCACAGGGATGTTGGTCTTCATGGCTGCATTGGGATTTAATGTTTGAACTCTGAGCAGAAACCTGTTCTTGATATGGCAGTGGCAGATGAGAAGGAAGTGGCATTGTTATGTGGATCTGATAGTGGACATTTTCTTGTAGACATAACTCTGTCTTTTGGGCATGGGGGAGGCAGAGTTTGAGACAGGTTCTCTCTGTGTAGTTCAGGCTGGACTTGAATTCACTATGTAGCCCAGGTGCCCTGGAACTCACAGTGAACCTCTTGGCTCAACTTCCCAGGTGCTGGGATTACAGGTGTACACCACCATACCTGGCAGTTCCTGCCTTCAGGTTAAACAAAACTGTATTTACCACCTGGATCCAACCAGGACCCCTGTGTTGCTGACCCCTCTTGACCTAGAGATTATGCCCGTGGTGGGGTGAGGAGCTGGTTATCACGAGGGTTACACACAGGGGATGCCTGGGTCCTTTCAGCTAAGATGCCTGCTTATTGTGAGTTGATGATAAATAAGTGGTTTCTTCTCTCAGAGAGCCACCAAAGATATCAGCAAGAAAGCAGGCCCAGACATATGTTCCCTTTTATAGTAGTCCTTCCTTATCCGTAAGGACACATTCCAAGACCCCCAGTGGATGCTTGAAGCTGTGGATGCATATATACCTATGGTAAAGTTTAATTTATAAATTAGACAGAGTAAAATATTGCTAACAATAATAAGTAAAAACAATGATAACAATATGTGTTAATAAAAGTTAGACAAATGAAATCTCTCATCTGCCACAGGTGGGTAGGGCATGCAATGCTGGACAAATAGGTAGCTAACATCCTAGGTCGGACAGAGCAGGATTGGGCAAGGTTTCATCAAACTACTCAGAAGGGCACACAATTGAAAACTTATTAATTATTTCTGGAGTTTTCTATTTCCTATATTGGACCACAGTTGACGGAGGGTTATGAAACCATGGAAAGCAGAACCATGGAGAATGAGTGACTATGGCATTTTTCACATAAGTCAGGGTGCAGATAGAAAGTGAAAGGACATATGCTTGGAACCTCTGATTTACAGTTGGAGAAACTGAGCTTCTCAGCCGGTCCCAGCACCCAGAAGGAAGCTCCCCATCTGCCATCCCAGGCTCCTAGGGCAGAGAAGGTGAGCCAGTCCCAGCACCCAGAAGGAAGCTCTCCAGCTCCATCTCAGGCTCCTAGGGCAGAGAAGGTGAGCCGCGTGGGCGCCAGAAGCACCCCCCCCCCAAATGAGAAGACACAGAAACAAGCCTCAAAAACAGACTTCCATATCACCTACACCAACCCCAAAGGGAAACGAGATGGAACACTTGGATACTCAACCACCTGGACTCTCTGAACT